AAAAGATATATAGGTGTCTAAATGGAAATGTGATAATTTGGAATCATGCTGTATAAATGTTTATATTTGATTGAGAATTAATAAAATCTTGATAGAAAGAAATACAATCGAATAAAAGTGAAGGGAGAAATAATGAGAAATTTACATGCTTAAATGGAAATGTGATAATATGGAACTATGTCTTAAAAAATAATGTTTTATTTGTCTTGTTAAAACTTATAAGTAATTTTTAGAAAGGAGGTTTTATGCCTTTATGTCTTATGCTTTGTTTGTCTTTAAAAAATCAATAAAACTTGTTTAAAAAAACAACTGAGATTTGCTCGATAAGAAATGTGCAAATTTATAGTTGAGTCTAATAATGAAACAATAATAATACAATATAACATAATATAATATTTATAGTTGATCTATGTAATATGAATGTATGTTTGGAAGGGAAGACTGTTGACATTGTGACATTGCACGAAAGAAATGTACCAACCGACGCACTGTATTTTGGAAGGTGGTTTTAGGTTGCTGTTTTATGTTTGTGTTTATTAGTGTTTGTCTTTAAAAAAAACTTTTACAAAAATTTTTCTATAGTCTTAATGAGCAAATATATAAAATAAAATGTTATTTCATCCAATCAAAAACTATGGAGCATTTTAGGAAGTTGGCAAATAGAGTTTTAACATAGTATTGCAGGGCTGGTGCATTGTGCAACAAGGTTACATAGTGAAATAAGATTGGGACTGGATTAGAGACTTCTGTCCTCACTGTGAGTTGTGTGTGTGTGTGTGTGTGTATGTGTGTGTGTGTGTGTGTGTGAGTGAGTGGGTTCACGAAGGGAGGCTCAGCCAATCTCATTGTATACATATTGTACTCTGACAATAAAGGTAATAATGATAATTTAAGATGGGTTGTAAGTTACCCAGACTTAGATACGATGGACAGCCAATAGATTTTACAAAAATATAATAATACAATAAAATAATAAAATAAAATAATAAATAATGAAGTGAAATGAAATTAAATAAACAAAATAAAGTAAATAAATGGGACAATATGGAAATGGAACTATGGGAAGTTTTACAGACTGAAACCTATCCAGTGTGATGAAATGAATTCTTAGGCAAATGTAATTTGTGAAAATTAGATAACATGAGATCTACAAGCAAAATGGAGCCTCATTTCATACTCCAGGGCCATTCTGAGAACAAATGCCCAAAATTGGTATCATGATTACCCACCAAATTTGTAGCTTCAGCCCTGTAATAAATGTAATATGATTTCCATGTTAATGTGAATAAAATAAAAGTGCAAGTAAGCATTAGGTTCTCCATTTTTAATTTGACTAGTTTTCCCCCCACTAGTGATGATTAATAGGTATCACCTACATAATGCCTCTAAGGTCTCCCTCCCAGTGGTTTCATTATTTTGATTAATGAAGATTTTACATTGATGATGTACATTCATTGAGATCATCAGTAATTAAATTGTTAGAAGGAAAAACCATATACCAGCCCAAGAAAAATCAAACGGCCAAGTATATGTCTCAGTCATAAGCAAGAGAATAAGCTCTTTATTCAGAACATTTAAAAACAAGGATGGAGGTAATTGTTTCATTTTATTCCATGCTATAACATTTCATCATCTTCTTTATTATTTGTAACACTTGCAAATAATTTTTCTATAAACATTTTAATGAATGAGTAAAAGTATCAAATGCCTACTAAAATTGATATTTAATTTGATACTTTATATATATTTAATACAAAACCATGTATCTCTCTAGCATTCCAGCATCAACAATATTGACATAAAAAACAAGACTGCTGTATTGGAGTTTATCCTTGTTGGGCTATCTACAACAACTGAAATGCAGTCCCTTCTCTTCTGGATATTCATTTTCATCTATGTGATGGCCCTAATTGCCAACTTTGTCCTCATTCTTACCATATACTCTTGTAGAAAACTCCACACCCCCATGTATTTCCTCATTGTCAATTTGTCTTTAGTGAATGTATTCTCCATTTCAGTTACAATACCTAAATTGCTACACAATCTTTTGACCGGAAGAAAGACCATCTCATTTTACGGATGCATTGCACAGGTCTATCTGTTTATCTGGGCTTTGGGAACAGAACTTCTTCTTCTCTCGTTCATGGCTTTTGATCGCTATGCTGCTATCTGTCACCCTTTGCAATACACTGTTATTATGAAGAAGGAAGTGTGTCTGGGCATAGCAAGTATTGTATGGATTTTTGGAATGGTCAATTCTGGAATCCATGCTGGACTTACATTAGAGCTCTCTTTTTGTAACTCCAATATTATCAATCACTTCTTCTGTGATATACCTCCTTTACTGCAACTCTCATGTTCAGATAAAAATCCAAATGAAATTATGGAATTTATTTCAGATGTGATATTTGGGATTTGCAGCTGTGGACTAACTTTCACATCCTATTTTTTTATATTAAAAAACATTTGCTCATTGCGTTCCACTGAAGGGAAAAAGAAAGCCTTCTCCACATGTTCTTCACACTTCATTGTAGTCAGTATTTTCTTTTCTTCAGTGATCTACACATATATCAGGCCCTCCTCAGTCTATGTTCTTGATCAGGACAAGCTAATTTCTCTTCTTTATTCAGTGGTAACACCAGTTGTTAATCCAATCATATATTCATTGAGAAATAAAGATTTTATAGAAGGATTGAAAGCACTTATAAGACGAATTAGGCTGTTCAGTTGAACCTATATTTTGGAACCCCAATCTGAAGCGGGGGGGGGGAAATCTAGCAGACAAAAAGTCAACACTTTGTATTAAACAGAACATTTTCCCCATTTGTTATTTGGGTCCTATAATTATATATCATAAATGTATATATAGATATTATGCATAATGGCTTTTTCCTTCTCTCTGTAGGTCATCAAAATTCTAAAATTTGTGCAGAGTTCTATGAAACAATGACACACACACACACACACACACACACACACATACACATACGTGTGTGTGTGTGTGTGTGTGTGTCTCCTAAGTTAGAAAATTGTTGGGAGCAGCAGATACACCATCCCAGAACTCTTTTGAGTTGTTCCCATATTGGAGCATTTTCACTGAATAATCTTGGTCTCAGTGGTAAATTATCTCACTCAGAACAGAGTCTTCACTCAGGTGCATATGCATATGAAAAGTTCCAATCAAGCTATACCCTTAGTAAATTTTATATCAATGTCTCAGTGATTAAGCATTAAGGCAAATCTTTCAGCATGTCAGCTAATATTGTGCATCTTTTTGCAAACATCTTGGGTTTCTGAATAATTTTAAATTTTTGCGTGTTGTGTCATAATGTAAGTCATAATGTAACAAATTTAAGTATACAAACATAAAAGGAAAAAAAACATACAAGACATCTGCTTTAGAAAATGGTCAAACATCACATGAAAATTTATCTTCACATCTCTTTTTATTCTCATATAATATTTCTAAACCATAAATGCATATGTACATAGGTAAGAATTTTTACCAAGCTTTTTGTACTATCTTCATTTATTTCAAAGATAGGAAACTTCCTTCAAGCTGGCAGGCCCAGACCTTAAGTTATATATCAGCAACACATGGACATCATGTGACTAAAAGTTGAGATTACTCAAATTCATATGCATATGCACCTGAGTGAAGACTCTGTTCTGAGTGAGACAATTTACCACTGAGACCAAGATTATTCAGTGAAAATGCTCCAATATGGGAACAACTCAAAAGAGTTCTGGGATGGTATATCTGCTGCTCCCAACAATTTTTTAACTTAGGAGATACAAGGGAGGAAATTCAGATAATAAATGTGGTAGTATTGCTATTACAATATACTAAATAATTGAATGGTTTATAGGTTGGATCAAGATCTGAAGAAAGACAAAGGTTAGCAAATTAATGAGTGGTAATTGATGAAAATTGGATTATTTTTTTGATTCTGGGCATTGTACAATACTTTAAAAAACAATAAATATATAAGAACATTAATTATAGAAAACAATAATTGTTAATAATGATATGGTTTTTTTTTCTCTTCTTTTAACTTGGCTTTATTTTAACTTCCTGATTTTATTTAATATTTCTTTCTCTTTTACTCTGCTGCATATAATATTAGTTTTCTCCAGAAAAGGAATAAGGCAAACAGGATGCATGATATATTGTATGGGTGCATTTTGAATTTTTCTTCAAAGCAGCTAATGGTTGTACAAAAAGATGTGCTTAGGCTCTCTCAATGAAATTTATCTTTTAAATTCACACTATTGTAATGAACGTTGCTTTCTAAGGATCTTAGAGGCAAATAAAAATAGTTTATCAGATAGTGATTTTCAAATTGAAGGTGTCAGTGGGTACTTCAAATATGAGAGAAGAACAAGGGATAGATAAGGATTTACAAAAAAAATGACCAAATCTTGACAGGTAAAGAAATGAAATTTATAACATGAATGTATAATTATCTATTGGAAATGGAACTAGAGGAAGAAATTGTCCAGGGACCTATGATTGCCTGGGTAAAAAATGTAGGCCATAATATAAATTTGGATGAGTGGGAAAAAAACTTGGACAGAGAACTGGAAGCTGACTTTGTCAACAGCATTTAAGGAAAATCAATACAAATGTTTTGCAGATGGCAGTTAGTGCTGGCAAGACTGGCAAAAATGTATCCAAATATGAAACTGGAATGCTGGAAGTGCAAACAAAAAAGGAACACTTTTCCATATGTAGTGGCAATGTTTAGAGACTAAAAACTATCAGAAGAACGTACAGAGATGGCTGTTTGAGATACAAAGTATAGATTGAATTTGGACCCAGAAACCTTTTTACTGGGTATGATCAAAGGAAATTTGAGTAAAGATAAGAGATACCTCATCGTACGCATCCTAACTGCAGCAAGAAGTATTTTTGCACAAAATTGGAAGAACGATATAATAGCATCAGAAGAGGCTTTAATTAAAAAATAATGGACTGTGCTGACCTAGACAAATTCACGATGGAACTAAGAGGCAAGGATGACCATGATTATTATGCGATATGGGATAGGTGGTATGAATGGGTGAAGAAGAAAGATAAAAATGATGTATAGTCACAAATGATAAATATGTATATACAATAACATATATAGTGTTAATAGAAATGAGAGTTTTGTATTGTTGATTTTAAAGAATAATTTTTTAAAAAAATATGAAAGATCTTCCTCCTAGGGCCAATGTGGCAACTAGCAAAAGGCTAAAGTTCCAGGGTTAAAAAACCTTATCTTTTGCATTTTCTCAGTAAAAGCAACTGAGCAATATTTCATAATGTTTAATACCGAATATTGAGGGAGAAGGAGAGGGAGGGGAAGAAGGGAAAAGGGAGAGGGAGAGGGGAGAGGGGGAAAGAGAGAAAGATTACAGAACCTGGGGCTACAATTATTAAACAGTACATATGTATTTAACCACCACTATTGGAAACCTGTCTAGTGTGACAGAGCAGAGATAGCAAAGCTGTAACTTTTGTTAGAGACATTAATCTCATTGATTTCTTCATCATACTGTAGTTGGCATGTTAGCTAGCTCTAATATAACATAAAGCAGATACCTATACATATATAAAGGAACTTTATGTGTAAGTTCCTACAGTAGAAAATCAATATTCAAAATGATGCTTTGAAATTGTTTGTTTGTTTGTTTGTTTGTTTAGATAACTTATATGGCTGCCCACTTATGGCAACTCCAAGTGACTAACAAAAACAAAATCCCAATTGAAAAACCAATACCCCCTTTCCTCCAAAATAACAATCAAGACAACCACTTGACAGGTTCCATTTTAGGCCCATTGACAAAGTCATGTCTTCAGGGCCTTTCAAAAGAGTGTCAAAGTGTGGGACAATCTCATTTCTGCAGAAATGATGTTGTACAGAGAAAGAGAGCCACTTGCAGAAGACCCTTCTTTTTGGTCCCACAGATAAACCCAGGGGTGGGATTCAAATTTTTTAACAACCTATTCTGTGGGCATGGCTAGGTTGGCATGGCTAGTTATTTTTTTGTAGCATCCCTCCCTGCAGTCCATTTTTGGGCCTCCTGGGCCTCAGGGAAGCCTCCTGTGGGGGGGTGTTTTTGCTTCCAGGAAGCTTCCCTGGAGGCCAGGAAGGCAAAAAATGAGAGTGCAGGGGGGGCTCAGGGAATCCACCTGGGCAAAGCAGTAAGACAGCAAGGGAGATCCCAGCACAGCTGATAATCGGAACAGCTCATTGTCAGGAGGGGAAAAATACCTTAAGGAGTGACTGGGCGGGCGAGAATGCAGTCAGTAATGTTCGGCAATAAGGACTGACTGGACAGGTGGAGAGGGGCAGGGGTAGCCAGGGGCATGATTTGCTGGTTCTCTGAACTGTGCAGAATCATAACAACTGGTTCTATAGAACCAGTCCATTCCAGTAGAATCTCACCCCTTGCTGAACCACCTTAAGAGAGGGAGCCCATATCCTGTCTTCTTATTCTCGGGTAGATATAACTGGGAAAAGACAGATAACCTGGTCCCAAGCTATGTAGGCCTTTAAAGGTTATAATCAACAACTTGAATTAGACCCATAAAGAAACTGACAGCCAATTCAGTTCTTGAAAGAATCTACACTTGCACAAAACCATCAGGCCACCATGTTTTGAACCAAACAAAACTTCTGATATTTTTCAAGGACATGGCAGTAGTGAATACTGGAGGTGACTAGGGCTTGGGTGACTGTGAGCAGGGGTTTTTAGTTTATTTTTCAGGAAAAAAATATAACAAAACTTGCTTCAAAATTAAATCATGTTCTCTGTCAACAAAAATATAACAGAAATTGGCTTCAAAGTTAAATCATGCTTTCTATCTATGAGACTAATTGGGGGAGTAGGAATACCTTATTTGTTCTGGGTTTATTCTGAAAAGTAAACAGGTTTTCTAAATAGCTGAAATGCTGCCTCATTCCAGAGAAACTAAGCTGAGTAACACTACTAGCATTTCTTTCTCTTCAAGATGTTAGAAAGTATCAGCAGTCAATGAACATAACATTAGAAAGAGTTTGATTCAAGTTAGTCATATGAAAAGTAGATTATTTCCATCTATAGGAATTGAGTTCTCTTTATTTTAATAATATAATGCATCCATGATTAAGTTGCTACAGAACTTCATCTACATTAAAGGAAAAAATCCACAACAAATTTGTCCAACAAAAATGATTAATTAATATAATTGCACCAGGAAATTCTGCAAAGACTGATTGGAACAATTATGATGAAGCCCCAGAGATCACACTCCCATTGGCATCCTGACATATAACATGAGCTTCCACTGATCACTGGCTTGATTTACAAACAAGGTTTGTAACAGCACAAAGCCAATCATCAAAGGCCATTATGATGTAGAAATGATTAGGAATTGAACCTTGCCAGATGCCAGTGTTGACATTAATTGTAAACTCACAAAGGGGAAAATGCTATAATATCAACAATGATAAATATGAAGGCAAGTATTTCATATGATTATTTTCCTTCATCCTAAGTACTTCCATAATTCATATGTGAAGTATCAAAGACTATTAAGACTTTTGCTATATGATGGTGGACAAAATTATTTCACTGGCAGCTAGATTTGGAATTAAAGTGAATTTAAATCATGAGAGTCAGTTTGGTGTGTTGGATAAGGTATCAAGCTAGAAACTGGGAGACCATGAGTTCTTATTCTGCTTTAGGCTCAAATCCAGTGTGTCACCTTGGGCCAGTCACCTTCTGTCAGCCCTAGGAAGGAGGCAATGGTAAAAGGAAGTTTCTGAAAAAAAAACCTACAAAAAAGACTTCAGGGACTTATCCAAGCAGTCTCCAAAAATCAGATGTGATTGAATAACAACAATGTAATTTAATTAGGGTGAGTCATTGGTAATCATTAACTTCATAAGTAACTGAAGTCCCACATATTATAGTTACCTATTTTACCACAATAGATCTATTTCCAGTCCATAACAATAAATATTGAGAACTTGCTAGAAATTTTCCTTTTCATGATAACTTGAGTCATTTTAAGAAGTTAACCATTTCCAAAATTGGAAATGCTTCAGTGCATGTTCTTCTTTCAGAACTTCATCTTGAATTGCCCTTTGAAGGTATGGAGACAACCTCTAAGTGACATGAAACAAAAAGAATATAGCTCCTTGTCTTTCCTTTTGGAAGCAAGGAGTCCCTTGCTTCATACAGGTGTCTGTTATCAGCAGTAGGAAACTGAAGAATCTATTTGAATCCTTGTACTTAGCTGGTAAGACTAGCACACAATTATATGCAAGACTATTTAGAACAAGGTATAAGAAGTCCATGGGAATTGAATTCTATATGGAAAAAAAATGTCCCTCTCCATTGTGAGAATTAAGAGCTACATTTCTCTTCTGGAAAACAGCAAAATATCCCAGTGCTTTACTCTCTACAAAATGAGCATTCATTTCTCATTACTTCATGTGAACATTTTTCAATATTGAAAGGTAGACGATGGGGGCAGGAGAGTTATGGAATGATGAATATCAATAAATATGGTCTATAAAGAGCATTTTGAAGGTACAATTGATCCAGAATGAAGTAGCACAGACAATTTTACAACCTCCTAGGGTGGGACATGTAATACCACTGTTATGCAAGTTCTCTGGTTGTTGATCTAATTCTGAGTGCAATTCAAGCTGTTGTTTATTACCTTTAATATATCTTTATGTCATGGGTCCAGAATATCTGTGCAACTATCTTTTCCCAATGAGATTGGCTCACCTCATGCGTGTTGACACTACTACAGATCCTATCAGCCAAAGAATTTCTGCTGGTGGAATCCAATAAAAGAGCTTTTCTACCATGGCTCCTGCCCTTTGGAATGTCTTGACCCAGGAGGTAAAATTTGCTCCCTCTTTTTTAGTCTTTCAAAATGTCCACATTAATATAATCCTTCATTTGTACTCAAAAAAGGCAATTGTATCTTCCAAATGTGATATATTGGTACAGGAAAAACGAAGCAAGAAAGTATACCCCTAAATTCCATCTCATAAGAAAGAGCTTCCTAATTATTCTTCTACCTGTAAGAATAAATAGGGATAAAGGCGATCATTTCACTTTATGTCATATGTTAATTTTTTCATCTTCCTTTTCTTTTAAGGTATCTGAACATTTTTGTAAAATAAATTTAAAAAGTAGAATTACAAAACATGAATGAACAATTCATATGATTCTATATAACACTACAGTTACATCTTTTCTTGCCTATACAAGAGAAAAAACAGAGGAGCTAGTTTAAAAAATTAGCACATTAATATGTAAATAGATTTTCAGTGCTAGAACAGCTAAAATGTTATGTTACAAATAGTAAGTGCTATTAGAAACCTCACATTATCACTAAAGCTTCTATTTATTTATTATTCCACATTCCTAAAATGTATTACAAACAATCTTTTTTAAAAAAAATCATTAAGAATTTAGTGGATTTCAGTTGATTACCACCAGTATTACCAGAACCATAAGGGTTCAAAAAGACCCAGGTTCATCAGTGTTGTAAACTAATCTGAGAGTGGTAGATTTTCCATATTTAAAAATAACCACATAAAATAATCAGATTTCAATTTTTGATGGGAAATTAAAAGAATAGAAAGGAACTAAAGAATCATTAGATAAATTATTGAATTGTGCAACTATGTTGATTATTATACTAAATCATGTGTCTCTTTAGGATAGCAGCTACAACAATATTGAAATAAAGAACAAGAGTGCCATATTGGAGTTGATCCTGGTTGGGCTTTCTACAACAACTGAAATTCAAACACCCCTCTTCTGGGTATTCATATTCATCTATGTTACAGCCCTCACTGCCAACTTCATTCTTATCCTTACCATATGTACTTTCAGGAAACTTCACACACCCATGTACTTCTTCATTGTCAATTTATCCTTAGTGAATGTAATCTCTATTTCAGTTACAACTCCTAAATTGCTCTATAGTCTTTGGACTGGAGGAAAGACTATCTCATTTTATGGATGTATTACCCAGGGCTATCTGTTTATATGGGCTTTGGGAACAGAACTTCTGCTTCTGTCCTTTATGGCTTTTGATCGCTATGCAGCTATCTGTCACCCTTTGCAATACACAATGATCATGAGGAAGGAGGTGTGTGCTTCCATGGTTATTGGAGTGTGGGTTGTAGGATTGGTAAATTCCTCTACACATTCTGGACTTATGTTGCAGTTGTCTTTTTGTAACTCCAATGTTATCAATCATTTCTTCTGTGATGTACCTCCATTGCTGCACCTCTCATGTTCAGATACAACTCTAAATGAGATTGTGTTATCTTCCTCAGATGTTATATTTGGGATTGGTTGTTGTGGGTTGACTCTAACATCATATTTTTTTATAATAAGAGCTATCTTCAGAATCCGTTCCACTGAAGGGAAAAAGAAAGCATTTTCTACCTGCTCCTCACATTTTATTGTAGTCAGTATTTTCTATTCCTCTGTCATCTATACTTACATCAGGCCCTCATCAGCCTACTCTCTAGACCAGGACAAGCTAATTGCTCTTCTTTATTCAGTGGTAACTCCTGTTGCTAATCCAATCATATATTCACTGAGAAACAAAGATGTTAAGGAAGGATTGAGAGTACTCACAAAGACAATTGGACTCCTCAATTGATTCAATACTGAGCTATATTCTAAAATGTAATTCTGGAAAAGCAGAATTTGTAATGAAAACATACTTTTTAATTAATTCTTTTTTATATAAAATTGTTAATAATTAGAATAATGGCTTCTTATCTTCTTTGTATAGTGGTTAAAAAAGGAGGAAGGAATATTAAGTATGCTTGAATCCTTAAGTTATTCATAAAAGTAGTCAAAGTAGATAAAAGCTAATAAATAGATACATAAAAACAAGAACTTTGATATTTGTATAAAAACCTATGTTGTTGTTATTCGTGAAATCATGTCCAACCCAATGGACAACATTCCTCCAGGCCTTCCTGTCCTCTGCCATCCTACACATGCACACATACACACACACACACACACACACACACGATAACAGTTTTTGTCCTACTTAGCTTTCTACTTACCGAAAAGAATCATCTTAACAGAATGTAAATTACTTGTTTGAAATTTTGTATTTCTCATTGATTTGAAATATGTATTATCTATGCAAAAAGGCTGATTCATAACACACACACACATTATTCCTTGCTATTTTTGCCAGAAGTTCTTTTATTTATTTGTTTTGAATTTAAATTTGTACCAAAATAAATCTGCCTTTTAGTGGTATTCCTTCCTTCCTTCCTTCCTTCCTTCCTTCCTTCCTTCCTTCCTTCACCTTAAATGGCACAGTAGTTAGAATGCAGTATCGCAGGCTAACTCTGCCCAAAGTCTGATGTTTAATCCTGACAAGGCTCAAGGTTGACTCAGCTTTACATATTTCTGAGCTCAGGAAAATGAGGATGCAGATTGTTGGGGACAATACACTGACATTGTAATTGCCCAAAGAGTGATGTAAAACATTATGGAGTGGTATCTAAGTCTAGTTGCTATTTCTATTAGTATTAAATCTCTTCAACACTTTTTTGCAGAAATATATAGTTATAGTGTGTGCTAATTTTAATGGGAGCAATGTATTTGTTTAATCAGTGACATCCTCGAAGTAAATAAACCTATTATGAAGCTATTGTCATCACCCCATGACCACTAGTAGATATGGTATGTTTAATCTACTACCATTAAGAAGGAAAAAAAACTTCTAGTGAATTCAGATCAAAACTAATTAAAGAGAACAATTAACAGAACCCTAAGTTTCATTGTAGTTTGTAAGTAAATCCTATTTTGTGCATTATAAAATTGATAAAGCTAGTATTTTTTATTTTCATTTTTATTTAATTATTTATTTATCTAATTTTTACTTAAATCAACATCTTAAATCCTTTTTTGCACACTGATTTTGTTGTTATTGTTGTCATCTTTTCTATAAGGTTTTATTTTTGTGGGGATTCTTTTAAAATCACTATTTTAAAGGAAGGAAAATCAGTAATGTTTTAATGCCAAGCCTGCTGTACTTATTCTAAATGTTAAAAATGTGTATATTTTAACCAGAAAATATACATGCATGCATATGCACATGCACACACACACACACACACACACGTGTATGTTTGCAAAGTTTAATTGATAACACCAATGTATATACCCAAATAATTTTTGAATCCTTAATAAAGTTTTATGTTCCTCCAGAAACCACTAAAAATAAGACAGCAACATACTTCAGTTTGCAAAATTTAACAGGCAAATTGGTATAAAATACAAGGAAAAATTACCAATGGCATCAGAAACAACATACAATCAAGAAAATTCATCCAACAGTGGCTCAGTTTCACTTTACCCCAAAGTCTGGGAGAATATTTAATAGCTTTCTGAATACGATCTATATAGGAGTCATCTTGATCTCTGTGGATAAATCATTCCATAAGGCAGCTGTCATAAGGGAGAAAACATGCTTTCTGTCACTGTTTAAGCAATGGGACCCAGAGCAGAAACAACCACAGAAGGATGTTCCCTTATATAGGGTCTATGCTATGAAGGACTTTATAGGTGATAAAAGCACCGTTGATCCAAATTCTGATAAATTTGATGACAGGTTTAAGGATTCTTGTGTTGAAATGACAGAAATAACATCCAAGCTTCAGAGTTGTGGAAACCTTGATAGAGAAACTACAAGCTTACAGTTGAACCACAGGATCATAACTACAGGATACATGCACAAACATTTTTTGTAACTTTTGTACCTTATTTCTAGTAAGCAATGTTCCTGTTACGTAACTATTTAAAACTATATATGTTTGCTTAGAATTGCATTTGGGATTCTTCCAGACTTATTAGTGGACCCATCTTTTTCCAGCACGAAATAAACCTGTGACTTAGAGAGAGAATCTGGATTCTGCCTTTTTGTTCATGCTGAGCACATCTGGTCTCTGATTAACAGCACCTTGAATTACACCAATTAGTAACTATTGAAACATTCAGAGGAATCATATGGACATCAGGAGATATGCCCAATACCGCCTGTAAAACTAAATTCTGGTCTTTAAGAATAGGCCAAAGTAATATGCAATGGATGGAAACTAATAAGGAGAGACCCAACCTAGAACTAACGAGAAATTTTCTTTTAGTTAGAAGAATTAATCAGTGGAATGACTTGATTACAGAAGTTGTGGATGCTTCAATACTTTTAATACTTTTAGGTTTTAATAAGAGATTGGACAGTCATTTGTCTGAAATGGCATAGGGTTTCTTGCTTGAGCAGGAGGTTGGACTAGAAGACCTCCAAAGTCCCTTCCACTTATTTTATTCTGTTCTGTTATCCCTAACTGAGGATTAATATTAATCTTGAATCTATTCCTTCACATCATGCTACCCAAACTCCACAAAAAAACTTATTTTTCTTATATGTACTCATTTCATGTATTCATAATTATGTATACACTTTTACTTATCTCGTAAACAATTGACAAATAAATAAAATAAAATAAAATAAAAATTATACTGTTATACTATAAGATCTCAACAGCAACACTTCTACCATAGTTATTGACAACCTCCCAAGACCATATTGAAACAAAGGTGGAAAAGATTTATGAACAATACCTGCTTCTCTATGACACTTTTGCATTTATTGGCATGCTAGTTAAAACTGAAAGACAATAAATCATTTTCACTTCCCTGTCTTGTTCTTGATCTATGCCATATCTCTCTTCTTAATCCCACCTATTTTAATATCTTAATAAATGTTTGTTGTGCAATGTCCTTATTCTAGGACATTATTATATGTAGGAATTTCTATGGAAATTTCCAAAAATTGATGTGCAAAATTATGGTTAGCTTTTGACCCCAGACCAGCCAGCTGAGGCTGTTGAGGTTCTGTCTCAATGCCTAGAAGGCTTGTAGATTTGGATGTCATGGACTCAATCATGCCAAATAGTTCTGGGTGTTTAAATCACCCAGATCTAGGAATATTTCATCTTTGACTTTTGTTGGCACACCACCTGGGGATCTTCCTGGATTTATAGCTCCTGCATAAAGAACGCATGTCAATCTTGGGTACAATTCCATTTGGTGCATCAGTTGGCTCTCTCTTATATTGTGGGATTGCCTTCTTTGTGTATTTTTGGGAGGCCGTATAGTTTGGGACATCTGGAAGATTTTTCTCTTGGTATGATCATCTGTTGGATCTCTTTGCTTATGTGGCTGGTTATAATTTTCTTCTTGGTTAATTTTTCCAGATATGTGGTTGGGTCTGTGTTTATGGGTTTGTATGTGGAGTCTTGAACAAAGACCAGAAAGCATGAATAGAAGAGATGATTCCACCAGACTGTCAATCATTTGGAAGCCTGCACTCACAAACAAAAAAAATCTCCACACCACTAGCCAGACTAGCACCTGGGCACAAACAGATCCCCCCTGATACCTCCAGCTCAAACACACCTCAACCAGGCACCCAGATGAAACCTAGCTTCCTAACAAATGATAGCCATCCATTTACCCAGAGCCAAGCTGCACTAAAGGCCTCCAATAAAAGAATACAATGTTGCCAGCCAATCAAGATACAAAAAGAGCCCCAAAACAGACAAAAGATATTAGAAACACCAATCAAGCAGAACACAGCAAACTCCAAGACAAATAAACACAGACCAAGACTCCCAACCAATCAGGATGAAGAAAAAACCATTCTGGCACAGCAATAGGCTGCCCCAAATTTAAATCTGAAACCACTATAAAAGTCTGACTCACAGATGAACACTATACAGAAGCCTGATGATGGCAGATGAGATTCTGCCGAAACGTTGCTACAACTTTAAAAGCACAACTACAATGACGGGGGAAAATACCCGAACAAAGCTGAATGCCATATATATATATATAATAATTGATAAATATATAAGTATATGTTAGTTTGACAATGTGAGAATTTATATAAACTGTGAGTAATGACTATGAAAGGATAGCACAAAAGATTTGTAACCAACTGACACACTGTATGTATATAAAATGGAAGATGGGTTTATGTTTTTATGTTTTGTCTGTATATGTTTGTCTTAAAAAATAATATATATATATATAATAATTTAAAAAGCAACTGTGTTCTCTTTGCTGATGATGTAAAGCTATTCAACACCACAGAAAATACTGCTACCCTCCAAAAAGACCTCGATTATATATCAGAATGGTCAATCAAATGGCAACTTCAAATCTCAACAAATAAATGCTCTGTCTTACATATTGGCAAAAAAATCAGATCATCCAAACTCTGATGTTTGTGATGATCCAAACTCTGTCAAGGACCTTGGAGTACTCATCTCTAATGTGCTAGAGCCCACTGTAACTACATAGCCAAAAAGGCATTAAGAATTGTTAACCTAATCTGGTAATATCACACTACTAACTAGAGCATACAAAATATTTGCTAAACCAATACTCAAATACAGCTCATCAGTCTGGAACCCACATTACATATCTGATATTAACACACTTGAGAAAGTCTAGAAATATTTCACAAGAAGTGTTCTCCACTCCTCTACTTGTTGCAGAATATCTTATGCCACCAGACTTGAAATTTTAGACCTAGACAACCTAGAACGACGTCTCCTTCGGTCCAATCTA